AGCGCGGGCTCCGGCCCCCGCCCTCTGCAGCACGTGCGTGGGCGCCACCTCTCGTCCCTCGTAGTGGCTTCTCCGCACTTCGGCAGATGCGGCGTCTCAGCGCAGTGCAATTCAGGGGGCCTCCAAAGCAAACAGATTTCATGTGTGCGCGTGTGTATGCATGCAGCGCCCTTTTTATTTGAGAGGTTTTTGCTATAGGGCGCGTGCGCTCGCCAGAGAGACAGAGAGACAGAAAGTGAGAAATCATCCCCCAGGGGGGATGGCCACGCCACAATCCCTTCTACTCCTTCTCCTCTTAGGATCTTGGGCATGCACGCACACGCGCCCGGCGTGAGTTTTAAGCCATCTGGTCCAGGACTCAAACCATGGTCGACTACATGGGAGTCCAGCGACATAGCCATTACGCTAACTGCTGGTCCCCATGCAGTATTCTTAATTTGTGACTCTCAATTTCTGCTTTGCAAGAAGACAGGAAAGTGAAGTCATTCCTTGGATGCCAGAATCTGCTCTATAATATCAAATTGATGTTCCTGTGCTCTGGTCCCATGAATTTCAAAACTGGCAACACCTGAGTGTCCCTACCGGAACTCATGTTGACCGCAATTTCCTTGGGGCATCATTGAGAGGTGACTAGGCCAGGAGCAGCCTTCCAGAGGCATCCAAGGTCATTTTCACAGGACTGGGTCAGTCCCTGGAGCCTGGGTTTGTGTAAAAGTGAGCAGCCAGACCCCTCTCTCACACACGGTTCTGCGCGGCCGTGGGAAGGCCCTCACCAGTGCGGGCCGTCCGTTTGAGAGTGGCCCCATCTGTGAGTGGGAGTGGGCGGTAGCTGCGGACACAGCCTGTGAGGGAGCAGTGAGGGCGAGCCAGCATGATTGTTGAGATTTTAGTACTCAGACTGGGCGTGGGCGGCGCAGTACCCAGACTGGGGGGTAGTGGATGGATTGCAGTTCTCAGACTCGGGCGTGGGCGGCACGCAGTAGTCAGGCTCGGGTTGTGGACCATGTCCACAATGACTCACCTGAAAGGCCAGGTGTTTGAGCAACTGTGAGCACGCTGACGGGCCACCAGGATGGGACTGAACCCACCTGGGCCCTTAATGGGGGAGCCCTGTCCTGGAGCTCTCCCACCTCACACAGGTCTCCACCTCGCATGTGGCCTGCTCCCTGCTGTTCACTACTGCCGGGCCCTGGACTGGCCTCCCTGCTTTTCTGCTCCCTTCAACGCCCA